CTACAGTACCTACGCGCCCAACCAAATCTCAATCCGCGACAAATTTGCTGGTTGGACTACCTCGAGTCCAACTTCCACTTCACTTTTACGTACAAAAAGGCGCCTCCAACATCGTTGGCGCACTCACCCGCCCTACCGCCCAACTCCATGCCATCCTACTCGCCCAAACCAACCCGCTTTTAACAGGCCTATTCACCTACGGATGCCGCACCGACCCGTTTTTCATGACCGGAAATTCACAGCAACTGGCAGAAGCTAAAGGAGTTAATTACGTAAAAACAGGCACCAACCGCATCTGGGTACCCGCGTACTCACTACTGAGGGAGCTGCTACTGCAGGAGGCACACGACGGAATTACCTCGGGACATTTTGGGGTAGAAAAAACGCGACAGCAACTGCAGCGGTATCACTACTGGCCGGAGCTGTTGACCGACGTGCAGCAACACGTGGGCTCGTGTCCGACGTGTCAGGTGATGAAGAGCTCGAGGAAGCGGAAGGCGGGTCAATTGCAGCCGGTACCACCACCCGAGCGCGCCTGGCAGCAGGTTACTATGGACTTTGCACAGAATTACCTTCGAATCCTGGGGGTTACGTTGCGGTGATGGTCATCGTTGACAGGTTGATGAAGATGGCACACTTCGCTGCATGCAAAAGGTCGATCTCAGCCGAGGAGATTGCTCGCCTGTTCATCGCAGCTGTTGTTTGCCTGCACGGGATACCAGCAGCGATTATCAGCGACAGGGATACGAAGTTCACCAGCAACTTCTGGAAGAACCTGAGGGAGCAGTTCGGGACCAGGCTACAGTTCAGTTCGTCGTACCACCCCGAGACCGACAATCAAACGGAGCGGACGAATCGGACGATGGAGCAGTTGATTCGTGCCACGCGCGACGACCGTACAACTTGGGAGCAGCAGCTGCCGCTGATCGAGTTCGCGTACAACAAAGCCACGTCAGCGACGACGCCGCACTCCCCCTTCGACCTGAACTACGGGCAAAATCCTACAGTGCCCATGACGCCGAGTACGGACAACCCAACACCACGTGCACAGCAATTCGCCGAAATTCAGCAAGCTGCCCACACCAGAGCCGCAAAAGCAATTAAAAAAGCAAACGTCATCGCTAAGCGCAACGCTGACCGCCACCGCCGCCCAGTCACATACCAGTAAGGGGATTACGTACTGCTCGACATGCAAAATCTGCGACTGCCCGACGTACCGAAACTTCGACCGCGCTACTGTTGCCCATTCCAAATCAGCCACATGATCACGCCAGTAACTGCGCCCCTGCTTTTACCGGCCGACTGGTACATCAGCCCTTCGTTCCACGTCAGCCTACTTCACCCATACATCCCAACCACCTGCCAACTGCCCCGTCACCGCTCGCATTCCATGACTCGCCCTGCATCGGAGCCGATCATCGAGCCCGAAAAAATCCTGAGCCGTCGGATTCGCCACCCCACGGGAATCAGGAGGATTGAATTCCTCGTTCGCTGGAAAGACCGCACGCCAACTGAGGATAGCTGGGTGCCCCTGGCCAACATCGAAAACCACCCTGCCCTGCAAGTGTACCTGAGGAGCCGGGGATTCCGCGATACACACGCACTCGCGTAGCGGAGAGGGCTTTTTGAAGGGGGGGGGGGGGGGGGGGGGGTGGGGGGGGTGGGTAGTGTAAGGAATTTTATCGGCATTCCTTACGAAGCCCAACTACATCGCGTACAGCAACAGCCGTTGTTCGCCCGTTACTGCTAACGGGGCTTCGCCAACTTCGCGCGCACTGTTTTGCCAAACCTCGCACCGCTGGCCCGGCCGTGTCGGCCTACGCTTCGGGACAAGCCCAAGCCTCGCTGCCAGTGTAGCACTAGCTAGCTCGCACGCACTGCGTTACCGTTTGCATGTTTCGCGTATAAATGTTCGCTCATGCCTTCGCTCACATCTTTGTACTCGTTTTGACACCTTACTGCAATTCTCGCTACTTAGATTCATTTCACCCGTAATAGTTGAGCATTAGTTTTTCCTGCTATCTTAGTATAGATCCTGGAGTGAAGGCACGTGGTGTAAATCACCTGTATCCAGTTTGTTAGAACCACCACAAAGCTGAACGAGCCAAGCAGATTTAGGGCGCATTGTTTTTTCACCTTTCATCGTTCGGACGGAAGCCCCGTCCGAACTTCTGTAGGTAACTAGTTGTTCGTTTAGATGTTCGTAAGACCCCCTGCGACGTCGGTACTGTCCGGACACAATCTGACACTTCTCTGCCAAAAAGTGGTCTGGACTAACCTGCTGACTCCGTCCAAACGGCATTTCGGACGGTCCGTTTTACCTGCGCTGTGATTCGGCCACGAATTGAATGATTTTCCAACCAATAGGATGTCGTCAAATATTGGTGGCGAAATCTCTAAGTGCTATACGATTTCTGTAATGCGTGTTATGTTTAGTGGCGGATTCTACATTTTCGATAGGGGAAAAAGTTGCACAATTGTGGTCCGGACGCCCTATCGTCCGGACCTGCTTCTCAAACGTCTGGACGGAGCTCCGTCCGGCCAGTTTGGAGGCTCCGTCCGGACATTTGACGAAAATGGAAAAAGTTACGCGCCCTTACAGCTGAAGAAATGGCGTGTGGAAGCTGTGTGTTGACCAAGCAGCGTACAAATGGCCATTGGACCGCAGGGTTCAATTTTCATTTTCCACGCCTCTCGAGAAAGTCCCGACGAGGGCACCCTTGTTCGTATCTGCAAACAGTCGGTTGTCGGTGCGTACGAAGCTTCTATCCCCTTTGCACGAAGGAGGTGTTGATCAACTGAAAGCTTCTTTCGAAAGCCTGAGCTTTTTGAAAAGCGATTTGAGAGACAACCCCAAGACAGATTGCTAGAAAAAGGACTTCACGTCGAAAAATATTGAATCAGCGTTCACAGGATTCAGAAGCAAAATGTAGTTGGTTGCAAGGTTCTCTCCTATCAGGTCGGGAGGAAAATTATAGAAAATGAAGATTTGCAGCCGGGGAAATGAAGACGGATCGAAAATCATGCCCATGCCCAACAAAGAACACACCTCCAATCAAACCCACAGCCTGTCAGCCAGCTTCTTCTGCTCCTCCAAGCAAGCCTCCGCAGAAGCAATACCCGAAGGGAAACTATATGGCAGTCATAATTAAGCCCAGTTTATCACGTTTGGTCACAGGGGCATCACGAACAGTCGCAGTACAGCAGACTTGTATCGCGGGTGATCACAGTACTATCACGGATGGTCACACATCGCCCCAAAAAGCTATCAAGTTTGGTCATTTGTTGAAACCTTGATAGAAAGTTGAAACTACTCAGGTCACTGTAGGGATTCAAGGAACGTTTTCTCGCGCGCAGTTTTGTCCGTAGTATTACGAAATAGTTTCGCGACAGCTCTTCGTAACTCGTTAATAACATATGCAATTTTTTGTTCATATTCAACTGTACACTGCTCGATTGATTCATAATGTTCCTAATAATATCGCTTTTGTACGGGTGAAAAGTGAAGGGTAATTTCTCTTCCCAAAACCTGAAACCCGTTCGAATGGGACTTAATTCGGGATGCATCAACCCTAACCACCTTGTCGCATGGTGTTTAGGGTTGAGGCCTCCCGAAGAACGTGCCATCCTATCGGGGTTTATATTTTTTCCTTCAGACCCCTAAATTTCAGGCTAGAATCATGCGCGAGGAAACAAGCAAGAAATATTGAGATTCCCAAAAATCTCTACAGTTTCTTTTGTGGTTTCAATTTTATTACAACGTTTCATCGAGTGACCAAACGTGATAGCTATTTGGGGCGAGATGTAACTATCCGTGATAGCACTGTGAATACCCGCGATTGAAATCTACTGTACCGTGACTGTTTGTGATACCTGTTTGACTAAATGTAATAAAACGGGAAACATTGTGACTGATTGTATAATGTCCCTAGGCATCACTTGCACAACACACCCAGTCTCCCCAGTGCAATTGCGGTAGAGCACACGCCGCGCCGCGTCGTAACCACACGCCCAGCTTCGTTGTCAGCCGTTTGTTGACCGTGCCTGCCAGTATGTTGCCAGCAATCGGGCTCTCCGCGACGTGGCTCTGCGATGAACTTATCACCGCTGGACTGGAACGAACGGACAACAAACCAATCCGTTTTCCCCAATGTCCCTTGCGCCAAATCTCCGCCAGATGTTCGCAAGCGCGAATCACATTTCCGCGTCAATCTTCCGCTCGAAGCCAGAAACTGTTTCGACCGCTTGGACCACCGCTAATTAACCCACATCACCGATCTTCCTGACGCGGCTCGCCGCCTCCAGGGCAGAACCTTCCCACCGCGACAGTGGAGTAGAGGGGTGGGTGGGAGTGCTCCGCCACACAAAGCGCTCTGGTGACTTGAACTTTCCGCCCAAGAAATGCTTGACACCAGCACCAGGTCCCCCCCTCCCCCTTCTTTCCGCCTTTCCTCCTGCAAGAATCTTTCCCCGACCCCCTCCGCCCATCCCAGTGCCGATTCCAAGCGAACTTCCCTCCCCTTACTCCCCTTACTCCCCCTCCTGACCGGCAGAATAAATCTCCCCTCGTCACCAGTCTACATGACAGTCGTGTCGTCGAGCTTCCTCACCGCCCATCCCTACCCCGTCCCCTCTCACCAGATTATCGTTGCGCTGGCTCTACATAGACAGAGCTCAAAGCATTCACCTCAAAGTGTCAGAAGCAAGCAAGCAGCACGAGCTGACAGGAGGAGCGCAGCAGCTCTCGTCCCGTACCGTTGTGGCGCTCGTCTTCGTCAACCCCCCACCGCCATCCGAAACCGCACGATTTGCTACATCTCCCTGAGCCTTTTACCGACCTCGCCTATTCGTTCTGCTTTCTCTCAACGCGACTCCCCACGACCTCCACAGCCACCACGACTCCAAGACTTCAAGGCGCTTATTAATCGTCTCCCTTACTTCGCCTCGCCTCCGCCATCCTTCTATTCCATCCTCCCACGCGCCATAGTAACTCCTCGAGAATGGGCGTTTCCAGATATCACAGGCGGTTCCACATGCTCGTGCCACTTGTCATGCTCTGGTTGGTCGTCTGCGCGCTGCCGTCCGCGCGTAGCGATGACGATGACGATGACGACGAGGGTGATGACGCGGTAACCGGTGCATGCGAGGTGTCGTCGCTCGCCGGTTACAAATACGCCGTCGACCTCAGCGGCAGCGGGTAAGTTAGCAGCAGACGGCCAATGGGCAAGTCAACAACAGCCAGCCTTCAGCAAGTAATTTCTCAGCTGTTAACTTCGGTGGCGCGATTCAAGCACTGCTTCTTAACCCTTCCGCACTGTTGCTTTCCAATGCCCCCTCTTCCACATCCCCCTCTCCGTCGCTTCCCTCTTTCCCCCGGACGTTAACCAACCGTTCCACCTCACCCCCTCCCCCCACTCGATCCCTTCGGCGCTCCATTCTCTATCCCCCCTCTCCCAACCAACAGTCTCTTGCACTGGGCTCCTAAAGGCACTAGCGAAATGGACTTCGCGGTCGAGGTGCCTCAACGTCGTCTCTCCCCGCTCACACCTTGCGACGCTCCCTTCTCCATTCCTCCCCTCCTCCCCCCCCTCCCCGCTTTCCCTCCCAACCTGCAGTCTCTACCTTCACTGGGCTCCTAAGGGCACTACTGAGATGGACTTTGCGATCGAGGCGCGGCCCGGAAGCAGAGCGGAGTCCACGTGGGTGTCCGTTGGGTGGTCATCTGGACGGATGGCTCCCGCCGACGCGGTCATGGGGAACCTTCCTGGAAACAAGGTCGCGGCGTACTCGATACAAGGCTACGACATGGGGTCCGTCGTACCGACGACGGCGTTTTCGGTGGCGGCGGCGGAGGTTCTGACCAGCAATGGCGGCAGCACGGTTTCCAAGTTCACGCGCACGATCGGCGACGGGGATTTCCCCGTCGCGCCCGACGCGAACACGCTTATCTGGGCGTTTTCCGAAAGTGTCTCGCAGGGGCTCGATTACCACGGCGGGAACTTGTAAGTGCGCGAAGGTTGCAGTATACGCGTTATTAGCATCCATGTCCCGCGAGATAGCCTCCTGTGGGGAGTCCTTATCAAGTTCTTGTTTGTATTATATGGGCGAATCTCGTCCCTCACTCTGCCTGCCATTCTTCCCGTCGTCCCGTCGTCACCCCGTCCCGTTCTCGCAGCGGCATCGTGAACATCGACTTCACCTGCGCTAGCGGCGCCGCGCCCGCGACGGGTGCACCAGACTCCATCACCGGCGGCGGCGGCAGCAGCTCGGGTTCCAGCAGCGGCGGCGGCGGCGGCGGCGGCGGCGCTTCGTGCCCGGCTTCCTCGCTGGCGGGATTCGACTATCAGGCGGAACTCACCCCAGGGTACGCGCAAACTCCCATCGTCTTCCTTCGGTCGTCGTCCACAGCCTCGGTCTCGCATTTTCCCCTCCCCCTTTCCCCCGCCAACAGCCTGCTCCTCCATTGGAAGCAAGCGTCCGCCGCGCCCCTCTTCCATCGACCCATTTGCCCGTTTTCCGCTTTCCCCGGCTATCTCTCTCTCTCCCCCGCTTCCCCCCGCTCCGCTCCCCCTCCCCGCCAACAGTCTGCTCCTCCACTGGAAGCCAGCGTCCGCCACGTCGCTCGACATGGCGCTCGAGGCCACCGCATCCGGCGGCGCCGCGGGCTCGTGGATCTCCGTGGCCTGGACGGGCGACGGCCGGATGGTCCCGTCGGACGCGGTCATCGGGAACATGCCGGGCGGCGCGGCCGGCGCGTACGCGATCTCGGGATACGATATGGGATCCATCGCGAAGACGACGACGTTTTCCGTCGGCGCGGCGGCGACGGAGACGTCGAGCGGCGGAAGCGCGATCGTGAAGTTTACGCGGACGGAGGGGGAAGGTTCGATCCCGATGTCGCTTTCCGCGCCGAACGCGCTGATCTGGGCGTATTCCGGGAGCGGATCTCAATCGTTGGATTACCACGGCAATAACTTGTACGTGCAAGTCGGGGTTGGCTTTTTGTGTACTCGTTTGAAGGGCTTTTGCTGTGCAAAAATATATTGCGCTCTAATGTTGGATTTGTTTAGTTTCCATCTGTTTCCCCAACTCTCCTCTTTCCGCCTCACTAACCCTCAATTTCTCCTTTCGCCAATCTTCGTACCCTTTCCCCTATCTTTGCAGTGGTTCAAAAACCGTGAGCTTCAACTGTGGCGGCAGCAGCACCACTCCCACCACTCCTACCACTCCCCCCACTACCGCCAGTCCTCCCCCCGCAGTCCCCGCGCCCTCTCCCCCCGTCACCACCCCCACTCCGCCCACCACCTCCCCCTCCGCACCTGGCGCCAGTGGCAGCAACAGCAGCGGCCCTGCGTGCACGCCGTCTAGTCTGGATGGCTATACCTGCTCCGAGAAACTCAGCGGAAACGAGTGAGTGAATTCCCTTCACAGTCCAGACAGTCTCGTAATCCACCCCTCACTCGCTCTCATTCACGCATTCGCTCAAAGGCTCACTCACCTGCTCTCCCTCACTCACTCACCCTCCCCTCCCGCACTCACTCACCCTCCCCTCCCTCACTCCACCCCTCGCCCTTCCCAGCTTCGTTCTGCACTGGAAGACCAACGGTGACTCCATTGACCTGGCGTGCGAGGTGGCAACCACCGGGTGGGTCTCCCTGGGGTGGAGCGCCGACGGCAAGATGTACCCCGCTGACGCCGTTGTTGGCAACCTCCCCTCCTCCACCACCATGCGCGCCGCTAGCACCACTTCGGGCGGCGCTACAGTCGCCAGCTACAGCGTTGCTGGCTACAGTGAATCTGACATCACTCCGGCGGCGGCGACCCTCCCGCTGGCCGCTACAGCTGTGGAGACCTCGTCCAATGGGAAGACGGTGGTGAAATTCTCGCGGAGCCTGGCCGGAGGGGATTTCCCGATTGACACGAGTGCGATGACGAATCTTATCTGGGCGTTTTCAGCTGATGGGTCCAAGACACTTGCCAATCACGGGGGCAACCGGTGAGCAAACCCATTCAGGTTTTCATCCTTTGTCTTCCCACTCCTCTGCCTCTGCCTCTTTGCCTCTGCCTCTTTGCCTCTGCCTCCTTACCTCTGCTCTGCGTCTGCCTCAGCTCTTCTCTCCCACTTCTCTACCTTCGTATCTCATTGCTCCCCTTTCTCCACTTCTCAGTCCGCTTCTCTTTTCTTCCCCCCTCCTCCCCTGCTCTTTTCCCCCTCCACAGCGGTTCTGCGGCTGTGAGTTTCGCTGCCGGCGCTGCTGCCTCATCTCCCCCATCAGGCTCGGGATCAGGCTCGGGTTTAGGCTCGCCAGCCCCCCCAACCACGCCTCCGCAGACCCCTCCTGTCCCCTCCACGCCCCCGCCAACCCCTCCTGCTGATTCGTCTGCCGGCAGTGGCAGCAGCAGCAGCAGCAGTAACAGCACTGGAAGCAGCAGCAGCTGCACTCCTTCCAGCATCGCTGGTTATGCCTGCTCGGCGAAGCTTGATGGGAACAAGTAAGCAGATCTGCATACCTACCTGTTGCACTATCCTTTCCACGTGTTTGAAGTGTAGTTTTGAGGCGTCTCAAAACAGCACTGGAAGCAGCACAGCAGCAGCTGCACTCCTTCCAGCATCGCTGGTTATGCCTGCTCGGCGAAGCTCAATGGGAACAAGTAAGCAGATCTGCATACCTACCTGTTGCACTAGTCTTTCCGGTCAATTTCGTGTCTTCAATCTGTTCTCTGTCTGTTCAGCACTCCCTCTTCCCTCCCCCCCTCTCCAGCTTCATCCTACACTGGAAGGCCACCGGGGCCTTGCGAGGTGGCTTCATCAAACATCACCCTTGCCTGCGAGGTGGCAACCACCGCTCACTCACTCACTCACTGACTCTCTCAACCCACTCTCTCCCCGTTCCTTCCCACTCTCCCCCCCCCCAGCTTCATCCTGCACTGGAACACCACCGGGGCAAACATCGCCTTCGCCTGCAAGGTAGCAACCACCGGGTGGGTCTCCATCACTCACTATTCACTCACTCAGTCTCTCCCTCCCTTCCCTCCTCTTCCCCCTCCGCAGCTTCGTCCTGCACTGGACCACCACTGGGGCAAACATCGCCCTGGCCTGCGAGGTGGCAACCACCGGGTGGGTCTCCCTGGGGTGGAGCGCCGACGGAAAGATGTACCCCGCTGACGCCGTCGTCGGCAACCTTCCCTCCACCACCACCATGCGCGCCGCTGCGGGCAGCGCAGCAGGCAGCGCCACTACAGTCGCCAGCTACAGCATTGCCGGCTACAGCGAGTCTGACGTCACTCCGGCGGCGGCGACCCTCCCGCTCACCGCTACAGCCGTGGAGACCTCGTCCAATGGGAAGACGGTGATCCGATTCTCCCGCGCCATGGCCAAGGGGGAGTTCCCGATGAGTGCGACCGGGCCGACCAAGGTCATCTGGGCTTACTCGGCTGATGGGTCTAAGGCCCTGGCCAATCACGGCCCCAACCGGTATGTTCTCGTATCGTTGACCACTCACCCTATGTGTTGCGGATAATGTAACAACAAAGGTCATCTGGGCTTACTCGGCTGATGGGTCTAAGGCCCTGGCCAATCATGGCCCCAACCGGTAGGTCCAAATACATCTTCTTGCCTCCTCCACAATCTCTGAGTTCAATCTTCATATGCTCGGCCAATGATGCTTTGACATTTGCAGCTTCGGGCATTGGGGTGATTACAGTGATCTGCTTTGGCTTAACCTTGGGATTGTCCCAACCTTGGGATTGTCCCGTGCACTAACCGTATGTTCCTGTCCCATCCCCACCCTGCTCTGCCCTAACAGCGGCTCTGCCACAGTCAATTTCGTCTCCGGAGCCACGGATACAAGCTCGACCTCAGGCTCGACCTCAGGCTCGACCTCAGGCTCGGGTGCAACTGGGGCAGTCGACCCAGGCCAGGATACTTCCAAGGCGAGCAACAGCACCAGTGCCAGCAGCAGCGGTGGCAGCAGCAGTTGCACTCCGTCGACTATTGCTGGTTACACGTGCTCGGCTCAGCTTAGTGGCGACAAGTAAGTTTCTTTCTTCTTTTTACCTTCTCTAACGGTGGACATTACTACCTCTTTTTATAACATTAGGCATCCACTTTTTGCGAAAGAAAGCGAGTGTACCACTTTCCTCTTACCTTGGCTCTTTGTGTTACTCTCTCCCCCCCTCCTCTCTGTGTCCATTGATTCACAGGTACATTCTCCACTGGAAGGCCAACACATCAACAATCAGTTTCGCTGCTGAGGTGGCGACCTCCGGTTGGGTCTCGCTTGGGTGGAACAGCAACGGCAAAATGGAGCCGGCCGACGCAGCCATTGGCAACCTGCCACCTGGCAGCAACAGCGCAGCGGTCGGCCCGTACAGCATCACGGGATACGGTGCGTCAGACATCTCTGCCACGTCAGCATTTGCCATGTCAGGCACCACAGTGGAGTCGGCAGCCAATGGGAAGACGGTTGTGAAATTCACGCGGCCGATGGCGGGAGGATCATACCCGATCAACACGAACGGGCCTACCACGGTCATCTGGGCTTATTCTGCTGATGGCTCTCAGACTCTCGCCAACCATGGTCCAAACTGGTGAGTCCTCTTGCCATCGTCCATTGCACTAACTTTGGGTAAGGGAGGGATCGTACCCGATCAACACAAACGGGCCTACCATGGTCATCTGGGCTTACTCTGCTGATGGCTCTCAGACTCTGGCCAACCATGGTCCCAACTGGTGAGTCCGCTTGCCCTCTCCATTCCACCTCCTCTTGTTGCGGGAGTGATTGGACCCATTCGTGTTGCCTCAGAAGCATCCCTCATGCCATTCCTCATCCCTCATGCCATTCCTCATCCCTCATGCCATTCCTCATCCCTCATGCCATTCCTCATCCCTCTCCCATCTCCCCTCGTGTTTTCTGACTTCCTACAGCGGATCCGCTCAGATCGACTTCATCTCCGGCTCAAGCGTCTCGACCTCCTCTTCCTCTTCCTCAACGGCCTTCATCATCCACGGATGGCTGCTCGGCATCGCGTTCGGAATCCTCATGCCCGCTGCTATTCTCATCTCGCGAATCTTCCTCGCCGATAAGCTCCAGGAGAAGCCGCCCGGCGTGGACCACATCCAGTGGGAGGAGCAGATTGCGCGCTGCGAAATCCTGGAAGCCTATGGCTTTCGAAACGCACAAGTGGATGCAGATTGTCGCGGTTGTGCTGGCTATCGCGGGGTGCATAATCGGAATGGTTGAATCCGGTTCGGTGGGTCTGAAGGGAACCCACGGCCAGCTCGGAATCGCAATCTTTGTGATGATTTTCATCCAGCCTGTGATTGGTCACTTCCGGCCAAACAAGGGTACAGTGAATCGGCCGACGTGGTTTGTTATCCACTGGGTGTTCGGCCTGGTTATTGTCGGACTCGCTTGGGTGAACACGTTCCTTGGGTTCGACGCCATGGCGGCTAAATTCGCCTCCGACATGCAAGTGTATTTCATCATCTTCGCGATTGCGATCGGGCTATTTGCGGCGATCTACGTGGTCATCTTCACGGTGGATCAGGTGGCGTTCATTCTCGCGAAGTTGAGACCTGTAGCGGATGAAGGAAGTGGAAAGCTGGTTGATGAAGTGTAGCTTGGGATGGGTTGATGGTAGAGGGGTTTTCAATGTTGGGTTGATGGGTACGGGTACTCCTCTGTGCTATTCTTGTACGCTTACACCTAGTAGCAACCCTGTGTTGTGTGACCTTGATTTGCATTTATCCTTGAGGAATGAGAGTCATCACTCATGACATGAGAGTGTGTTGGATAGTAGACAAGTGCAGTTATTCGGACTGCCAATATCAGCACTTGGGTATAATCCCTGCATTAGAAACCTGGATCTGGACAGGGAATGGTAGGATAGACCCTTTTGCTTCCCCCGATCATAACTGTCTTGGGAAATACACTTGCTATGAATGTCAGGCCGCCCACCATATCATACTACAAGTTCATACTGGTCATAGAAAAACACACACTAGATATGTATTTAATATGTGAAGTGTAGGTGCAAGGGCCAGTCACATGCATGGTTCGCTTACAGTTCAGGTGTTGTGAGTTTTTGTAAGGAAAATCACTTTTCCTTACTTCGCATCCCTACTCAACGTGTACATCACTGTAGCACCTCAGTCAGCACCGTTACCACTCGCGATCCTCGCATCGACAATCACCCCGCCATTTTCGCACATCGCACCCCGACCTCACGGCTCGGCTGGTAACCCGCGCTCCGGGCCTCCGCTTCGACACTTTCCCAACCTCAGTCCCAGGCCCGTCGCGCGACAACCACAGTTCGTTACCGTTACTACTGTAGTTTCGCTATATATTCTTCGCTCATGCCCTTCGCTCATTGTATTCTTGCTTCGATAGTGCAATTCTCGTTCGTTCACTCAATTGCACTCGTAACACTTGTTATTCAGAGCCTACGATCTCCTCTCGGACCGCATCCACACTTTCGCTTCCCCACTATCTCAATTTTTGGGGGGGGTAGACGTCTCTCAGCGACACAGCACCGCCGCTCGTAGTGCTCTCTCGTAAGCACGCACGGCCACGACCGAGGCTCTCGCTGAGCTTGCCCGACACCCCCGCCCATGACCGATTTCACGCTCGCCACATTGACGCAGGAGCAGCTTGATCGTCTCGTGCGTCAACTGGAAGATTCGGCGCTCGAAATTGCGACGCTCACGGCGGAACGTGACTCCGCCCGTCAACAATCCACGGTGAACATTCCGGCAACATCACACGGACAGACAAATGCATCTGCACAATCGGACGAGCCGATCATCATCTCGTCCGGCACACCAACACAACACGACAACATGGGACAACGCTCAGGCGCAGCTAGTGATGGCGCCGCCCAGCCGATGCCTGGCATGGGAGGAAGCAGGATCGCACCAAGCCCGCAGGAGCCCCGGGAAGCCCGTCGGCACGTGGAATTTGCGGCGACAAGTGGCGAACAGGCCATTATGGCACCAATGCCGCTCAAGCCACAGCGCCCGCCCTGCTTCGACCCAAGCCAACGCGGAGGCCCGACGGTTCAATCGTGGGTCTTCACGATGAACGTCTTCTTCGACGCAAACTACGTCGAGTCGGACGCCGCGAAAATTCGGTATGCAGTTTCGCTGCTAAGGGGCCCCGCCATGGACTGGTGGCGAGTCATCGTGACATCGCCACGCGCCTACGAGCCACCGTCGCACGAGGAAGGGCCCACGGGTCCAGCTCTCACCTGGAGTTCGTTCTACGAGACCGCCCAATACAGCACGTGGGATGCGTGGTGCACAGGGCTTTTGGTGCGCGCTTCGAGCCGATCGTGGCTTCGATTTCGGCGCGTTAGAGATTGCGCACTTGGCGCCAGCTCGGGTCGGTTCAAGATTATACGAGCGGTTTTCTCGCACTTTGCGAACAGGTCGGCTACATGCACGAAGCGGAGCGGGTGGACCGTTACGTCGGAGGGCTGAAGCCGGATATCTCGCACGAAATCATGCTGCTCGGACTCTCCAACTTCAACGAGATTCTCGCGCTCGCCGAGAAAATTGACATTCTACGCCGACCGAGACCGGGGTCCTACTACGGACATCGTCCTCGGGGACCGACAGAGCACGCCACTGTACACGCCGTTGCAACGAATGCAGCTGCCGCACCGTTTAAGGGGCGCTTCTTTGCTTGCAACAGGCCGGGCCATCGCAAAAGTGAATGCCCAGAGGAGCTGAGGCGCCGCGGAGCAGAGCAGGGGAGGGAGTCTAAGAGGCCGGGAAACGCCAGCAGTCAGTAGAAGTTGGGCCAACTACTGACGAGACTGCCTGCTCGCACAACCGCACCGACCCTCACCGAGTCACAGTACCGATTCACTGCCATCGATCGAGCTCAGATGAATAAGGAGGGTACAGCGACGGATTGCCCAGTACTGATCTACGGGAAGATACAGGGAGCAGGAGTGAAGATTTTTATTGACGAAGGAGCAAGTTACAGTTTACTTAATACAGAAACCGCACGGAAACTGCAGTTAACACTTAACCGTTGCTTACCTGAGATAGACGCACGCTTAGTCGACGGCACGCCAATGGCCATACGGGAAAAGGTGGAGCGAGTAAAAGTCCGATGCGGAGGGAACTTCGGGTTTACATAGGAAATGCTCGCAACGACACTGGATGGGCACGACATTTTACTGGGATGCGATTTGCTGCGACGGTATAACCCGCGAATTGACTGGACGACGGGTAGCTGCACAGTGCGAAGTAGTGGTAACTGGGTCGTCCTTCCTCGCTGGCGACCACCCGAGTCTTCAACGGTCCACGTCAACGCCATCACGATGAAACGGGCTGTCGCCGCTGGAGCTGACGTGTACGCAGTGGATATAGCATTAGTGGGAGAAGAGGAGCAGCCGAGCGATTTTCATAAACTGTTGGCAGCAGTACCGCCCGAACTTCAGGAACTCTTGAAACGGTACCCGGGGATTTTTCCAGACGACTTACCGCAAGGGCTGCCACCTCAGCGGGCGCATGACCATAGAATCGAGTTAGAACTGGGGGCACAGCCAACTGTACAGCGCCAGTTCAGACTGACGCAGCCCGAGCTCGACGAACTAAGGAAGCAGTTAGGTTATTTGTTAGAGAAGCAGTTTATCCGACCGAGCTCGTCACCGTTCGCCGCACCAATACTGTTCACACCGAAAAAGACGGAGGATTTCGCATGTGCATTGATTACCGAGCGCTCAACAGAGTAATAGTCAAATCGCGATACCCCATCCCCCGCGCCGACAAACTGATCGACCAGCTGCAAACAGCACGGGTATTTTCGAAAATAGACTTACGGGGGGTTACCATCAATTCGGGTCGAACCATCGGACTGCGCCAAGACAGCATTTAGGACTCGGTACGGGTCATTCGAGTACACCGGTGATGCCTTTCGAGATGACCAACGCGCCCGCAATATTTCAGATGACCATGAACGAGGCGTTTATGTCAGAACATATAGCTTACTTATTTGTGTAGGCTATAGTGGGGTATCCCATAGGGGGTACAACCCAATTAGGGTTTCCTATTTGTACTCACTTCGTTCACAGTCATTTCATTCTCGTTCACTTCTTCTCATGGTATCGAGCAGGTTCCCCTGTGGGAACTGTTCTTAGGGCCCACCTCCGCTACCTCGTAACTTTTTTCTGCCCGGAGCGCGCTCCGGGCCCTCTTACTTCCTTTTTTTTCGATCTGCCCTAACGGCCCCTAGACGCCCGCGCGCCGCCCGCCCTAACGCCCGCGCGCTGCCCGCCCTAGAGCCTGAGCGCGGCCCCCCTAGAGCCTGACGGCGCCGCCCGCCCTAGAGCCTAAGCGCCGCCCGCCCTAGCGCCCGCGCGCTGCCCGCCCTAGAGCTCGAGCGCGGCCCGCCCTAGAGCCTGACAGCCGCCCGCCCTAGGGCCTGAGCGCCGCCCGTCGTCGCCCTAGCGCCCTAGCGCCCGACGCCCGCGAGCCGCCCGTCGCACCGCCCGTGCGCCGCCCGTGCGTCGCCCTCAGCAGCTCGACGCGCCGCCCGTGCAGCCGCCTGTGAGCTGCCTGTGCGCCGCCCGACGTACCGCCCGTGCAGCCGCCCGTGCAGCCGCCCGTGCAGCCGCCCAGCGTGAGCCGCCCGCGACTCCGCCAGGCCGCCGTCCGTGAGCCGCCCGCGCCCGCCACAGGCTGCCGTCCGTGAGCCGCCCGTGCAGCCGCCCTCAGCCGCCCGTGAACGCCCGGTGCAGCCGCCCGCAGCGCCCGTGAGCCGCCGTGCAGCCGCCCGCGAGCCGCCAGCGAGGCCGCCGTCGCGACGCCCGCAGAACCCCGTGCCACCCGCGTCACCAAGCCGAACGGGCAGCCCTTGTGCAGCAGAACCGCCCGAGCCGCCCGTGCAGCAGACCCGCCCGAGCCGCCTGTGCCGCCGAGCGCCCGAGCCGCCCCGAGCCGCCCGAGCACGCTCGAGCCGCCCGAGCGCCCGCGCCGCCCCCAGCCGCTCGAGCCGCCTGAGCCGCCCGAGCAACATGAGGTGCCGAGCTCCTGCTCCTGTGGGGCTTGCTGCTGCTCCTGGGCCGGCGCAGCTGCTGTGCTGACAGTGTTGCTTGTGCGCTGTGCTTCCCGACTCTTCCGGCCCGGTGAGATTGTTAGCTGCTACAATGGGCCACCCCCCAGTGTCCTGGCTTTTGACGCTGAGGGTCGCGCCATTGACTTTGCAGTCTGGATTGAGGACTGCAGCTGTAC